CTGCAATAGGGATTGGCTAGCCGCCCTAGTAGACGGATATCCTCGATTACCAGTGAGCAGCTATTAATTTATTATATATATATATATATATATATATATATATATATATATATATGTGTGTGTGTGTGTGTGTGTGTGTGTGTGTGTGTAACCAAGGATCAATTATAGAATTTTGGTCATGAAAAGTTTACGCACCTATCAGAATTTAAGGCATGAAAGCAAATCATGGCGGTGATTGAATAGATTTTTGGTTTGTTTGTTTTTTTTGTTTTTGTTTTTTTTGTTTTTTTTTTTTTGCATTTCACCCCAAGTAAGGCGAGAGTGCCACTAGCATTCAAGAGGTTACAGAGAGTGGGAGAAAAAGTAAAGAGACATCATTAAGGAAAGAATAAAGAGAAGTTCGGGGGAATTAGATCAAGGCCTCTGAAGATGTCCACTGACATTACATTTGAATATTTGAAGACTATAACTGTCAAGGAAGCAAGTAAGAGGAAGGGAGTTCCACTGACGGGAAGTGCAATAATAGTTAAAATAATGCGTTTTGCATCAAGATAATGCAAGGTTGCATTGTATAGTCAACAAACAGCGCAAAAGACGATAAGACTAAAATTCATAGCTCTCTACTTCTATATATCACGTCGCTTCAAGACGTTGGTTATCATAGGTTTCCACTATTCACCCTCCTTTATAGCTCTTAGCAGTATTTATCTTTTTGCTATCTCTCCTAATCCCTGTTCTTCCAACCACTTACACAATCACGTTATTCGATACTTTCCTCCGTCCTTTTTGCCTTCAATATATCCTGTTGGTATTATATTTTCCAGGCCCTCTTTCCTCATTATATGCCCAAGAAATTCCAACTCTCTCTTGCTAATTCTAAAACTGTCCTCTTGAACACTTTTCTCTTTCTGCTCATCACTAATGTTTCTGTTCCTAATTCCTCCACACCCTGTAACCCCTTGCGTTTTACGGTGGAATAATGGATAATGGCTCGGATTGAGGAATCGGAGAGCCGAGTTCGAATTCCAGTCGTATCCATTACATTCACTTACGTGCTATTACCCTTGGGAAATGTATGAATCCTCTTCTTCTCCCCCACCCCAGCTATGGGTAAATAGCAGGACAGACCGGGTTGTATAGCCTTGGATGGCAACTGGTCTAACGCAGAAAGAAATGGCAACCTACTGCGGGGAAAAATCTGCCTCGTCAGTCATGTATCGAAAGATACATGATCGTCTAAGCGTGTATCACGCATGGCGCATAACTGACTGACTGACTGCTTTGTTTGGGGTAATAGCGATTAAAAAAAAAGTATGTGTGCTTTTTTTGTCGTTGCTCACATATTCAGCTCATGATATTCTCAGCATCCTTCTGTAGAACCACATTTCTGTTGCCTCATATCTCTTGTCCATCTGTCAGGAGATTCTCCAACATTCACTGCCATGAAGAAGGACCAATATTACATAACAGTTCAGCAGTGTTTTCTTTGTTTCTAACGTGAATTTCCTGTTTCTTAATAATCTACAGCTTCAATTTCGCATCATAAGAGTTTCGGACGTTCCTGAAATTCAAAAAGGCGCTAAAAGGTGAACATTTTTCATACGATGCAGAAGTTGCTTCGAACAGTTGGATCAAATATGAATGCAAAAAGTTTCTTCAATGAAGGAAATAAAAAAGGAACGTTTGCGAAAATGTTTAAATATGTCGAAAAATGAGCTTGTAATTTTCAAGAGAAAAATTTCATAATTCCACCAGGTCTAAAAATTGTTTTATAATTTCTTACTTATCAGTTAACCCTCGTATTGTTTAAAAATATACTTACTTTACTTTGATACACGTTCCATTTCCTTTCTTTTCCTTCGCAATTTAATTCTGGTTTTCTTTTAATACCAGTATTATTGTTATATCTGCTCTATAACATTTGATATTGGATTTTTTTTAATCATCTGTTAGATTACCGCCCCCTGACGATAATAACATGCGGCGCGATATTTGAAAGGATCTTATTTTACCTTTTACATTTAGAGAGGCAACACACATTTCTTCTCGCTCCGATAGATACATGTAAGTCCTTCAGACACACAGACTGAAGATTGTATTGAACTGTTCAGAACTTCAACTTCGTCTCTTTCTTTATTCTTCTGTAACATGTCTTATAAATATGGGTACAAATTCCATGTTTTTTTTTCAGTTTTTTTTTACCTTGACTCACATGAGTCAGCTCAAGATTGTTTGCGGAAAATTGTACCAGAAAGCATGAAAATGATAATACTTTCCATTCTCGCAACCCACCCCAAGCAAGGGGATAATGACATTAAGATGCAATGGTTTACTGGCAGAGGAAAAAAAGGAAAAAACTTTTAGTGAGAAGAAAGAACAATAAAAGAACAGAATGCAGGAAGACAGAAAATGGCGATTGACGTTGCATTTAAATTTTTGAAGATTGTAGGTGACAGGGAAGCAAGAAGTCGGAAGGGAGTTACACAGGTGAGAAGTGCGAGAAAAGAAACGATTCGAATAGAACTTACGGTTTGATATAGCTATTCCATCCTTAAAACGATAACACCTATAGGCAATCTAGAACTCAATTCGTACGGTTGAGGTACCAAAGAAAAGAGCTCATTAGAACAAATGCCATGGAAAGGTACAAGAAAGCCACGTCATGGCTGTGGGAAATTTAACAGAAGTCGAGATGTCTGGTCAGGATCGATAAGATTACAATATTTACCAATCAATTCTCGTAATATCAAAGTGAAAAAAATATTTTTTGACAACAGTTTCATTATTGTATCTGTTTTGACACTTGTTTATAGGACTGGAGATCTTAATATTTAATCAACCATCTTAATTTTGAAAAGAAACGAATCTACTTCATACCATTTTTATTAATCTAACTACTTTTAAGCATATTTCATACGATTATAGAGTTTATTTTTCAATTAATCCTCGTCATTTTTAAGAGCAATAAATTTCCTTCATTTTTATACCAGATTCATTGTATTATCTGGTCTAAAAATTGTTTTATAGGACAGGAGACTTTACTTATGTATGTCTTCTACCTGTTTATTCCAATATTGATATCATAACTAGGGTTTATCAAATACACACCATAAAGTGTATATTCACACTATTTATTATATCTTCAAAGATATACATTCTGACGATAAATTACGGATATTTTAGCAACGACTTGACGTGGAGGCAACGATTTTACACTTATGTTAAACTGGTTCTAAAATGTGTTTTTCGGCTTCTAATTTACAGCTTGCGTATCAGAAGAAAGGCCAATGCTACTGACAAAATATAGGATGTGTAATAAATTGTAGATAGATAGATATGAAGAGAGATAGACAAGGATACATTCAACTGACTTGAAGGGAAACGACCACATCGAATCAACAGCTCCATCTACTGCAAGGATATTTGGGTCACTGTGTCGTGCCAGAAGGTTTTCTTCGTCAGAGTCCATTTTGTACATTTACAAATCTACAATTCGTCCGTGCATTGAATACTGCTCCTGCTATTCATCCTGAGTTTCTTGACAAAATCCAAAGAAGGATCTACAATGTAATCGATCCTGTCTTAGTATCTCGACTTCAGTCAATTTCTCACCAACGTGATATGGCTTCTCTCAGGCTTTTCTACAAATATTTTCAACTATTCTGACGAAATTTTTTCTTGGTGTCTCCCTCACGTGAGTTTAAGTGTGCCATTAAATACATTGGGAAGGAAGACGTTATGGTCTTAATGTCACTACTTTAGCCTGAACCGACACTGTCGCTTGGAGGCTTTGCAAAGGCCAAAACCAGTACTGACCATTAAATACTTTTTGTTATCTTCTGAACTCTGGACATAAATCAAGTTAGAAATTTGAGTGTCAAAAATCGATACATTAAATTCTTTTCACATAGGTGTGCAGAACAATACAGTGATGGAGTAACGGTGGTTCTTGTTGGATCGCAACAGCTATGGTCATTGACAACCAATGAAACGCTTCTATTCTATTTTTCTCTCATTCATTTCTGGTTAATATTAACAATTTTCTTAAAGGTAGAACTGGAAAAATGGATAGAAATTATCATTGTCGTTTCCATTGCCATCATCCTTGCAATCGGCGATATCACGGAATATTGATGAAAGTGATGTGTAATGAAATATACTGCTGTCATTTTCCCACCAGTGAGAGCTAACCGATAATTTTTTTTTAAAATACACTGTATCCGTTCAGGACGTAGGCAAGCATGGATCTCCACGATTTTTTGACATGTGTAGCACTTTGTTTGTCTTTTTGTTATCTCTTTCAATCACTGTTCTGCCGAAGATTTACACAAACTTGTTAGGTAAGTTATTTGCTGCTTTCCTCTGTTCATCTTGTTTTCAAATTTTCTGTCTTTGTTAAATTTTCTAAACCGTCTTTCTAATTATGTGACTGAAAACTGTTTCTTTCTGATATTAATTATATTATAGAAATTATCATTGTCCTTTCCATTGTCATCGTCCTTGCAATCGGCGGTCTCATGGAATATTGAGGAAAGTGATGTGTAATGAAATATACTGCTGTCATTTTCCAACCTGACTTGGTATCTCGACTTCATTCACTTTCTCACCGACGATACGTTGCTTCCCTCTGTCTTTTCTACAAATATTTTCATGGCAACTGCTCTGACGAACTTTTTTCCTTGGTGCCTCCCTTATGTGAGTTTAAGCGTGCCACTAGATTGGCATTTAGGTCCCACCTTTTCACTGTTGAATTAGGTAAATGCAACCGCCACTTTTACTCCAACAGTTTCTTTTCTAGCACTTCCCGTCAGGGGATCTCTCTTACGTTTCCTTGCTTCCCTAATGACTACAATCTTCAAAAATTTAAATCCAACGTCAATCACCATCTTTTATCTTCTTGAACCCTTCCTCGGTTCACCCTATACACAGTCTTTTCTCTCACCTTCACTGAGTACTGGTGGCATTCCCGTCTTACATGGGGTTAAAATGATTTTTAAAAATTAGATAGATAGATAGATAGATAGATAGATAGATAGATAGATAGATAGATAGATAGATAGATAAGGAACAGACTGGGATAGATAGATAGATAGATAGATAGATAGATAGATAGATAGATAGATAGATAGATAGATAGATAGATAGATAGATAGATAGATCTGTAGCAATGTTTAAAGGATCCACCGCTGCTATCAGCCTTTAGTCACAAACATGTTTACAATTACAAATCTTTTCAGGTATTAAAAGTTTCATCTATTTTGCCATGGAAGAGAATCGAAATGCTATTCAAAGCGAAGGCGTTTCTCTGAAGCAATTTTGAATTGCTTGGACTAAACCTTTCGTTTCCTGTAGCGCATTGGATTTCATGTTTACCAAAAGATTTTCTTTTTTTTTCTTCTCTTTTTTTTTTCTTTTTTTTTTTTAAGAAGAAAGAGGGGTCTCTTTTAAGAACAGAAAAAAATACGTGGAAAAAGAGATGGGTTGATAAATTAGTAAACGATGAAGATATGAAGGAACAGAAGGGCGAAGTGGGAAAAGAAACAAAAATGAAAAAAAAGAAAGAAAATATTTAAACCACTTGAATGAAAAAAAAAAAGGAAAAAAGGAGAAAAAATGAAGAACGTGAAAGAAAAATGACAATTAAAATATGAACGAAAAAAGAAAAGCTAAAGTTTTTAAAAAAAATTAAAATTAAAATTGAAAGAAAAAAAATCAACTGAAAGAGGAAAAGATAAAAAAAACGTATTCGTATGAACAAAATTGTTTTCGATACAAAACCAAAATATTTTTATAAACTAGCAAGAGAGAAAAAATAAAATAAAATAATTATTGATTAGTGTAACTCTCCTGTGAATGAAGATAGATTTTCTTTTCATCATATATTTCCGTCTTATTTACTCTGTATCATTTGCAACAGCGTTCCAACTTTCTTTTGAATTCCAATAGATATAGTTTTGCTGCTATTAAACTCAAATAATAGACAAGAAATGTTTATGATATTAAATGTAAAATGTCTTACACTTCCTTCGACTTGCATTCAAACATACGCTTAAAATCGATTCCATGATAGTCTAAAAGTGAAGAAAACAGGTTAACTCTTTAGAATATATATTTTTAATAGCGTCAAAACAGATTAGACTGTCACTAGGTAAATAAAGGGAGATTATACGGATTGATATCTTTTTGGGGTGGGGATTTAGAATAGGCGGCTACGAATAGAAATAATGCTTTCCTTCATTTTGTACATATTATTGAACATCTAACTCTACAAATCACGAATATGAAAAACATATATTATGAAATTTTTATTTGATTGATTCATTCGTTTTCTACAGCCGTTTTGAAGATTATTTAAAGCCAGAAATATTTTTTGATTGTAATAGTCTTTAATGGGATAATAGGTTGTTACATGCCTTACTAATTAACCTATAGCTGGGGGAGAAAATACAAGTTATTATCTTTTACAATGGTATTTGTTTGTAAGTAAATTTAACGAACCCAACTGAAATTGGAACTCAGCTCTCTGATTAACAACTCCGGGCCATTATCCATTACAGCATACGCACCTACAAACTTAGAGCCCCTGGTATTCCCAAGCGATCATCCATCTATATACTGATCAGGCTCGATGTTGCTTAACTTCAGTGATCGCCCGAGAACTGGTGTTTCAACGCTATATGGCCGTAAGCCTATAAAATAATGTTTTAAATCCATTAATTCTTTAAAAATTGCTTTGTTTACGTTTCGGTACGAAACGAAAACAAATATGGCTTTCGAGAAAAATCTGAACGAGATGTTTCAAATAGAATCTTGCTTAACTGTAACTTCGTAACAAAGTAGTCTAAGGTATATAGGATCAGACAGTGGTTCCTCTCACAAAGGGGGGACATATTTTTTTACGAAATTTTCTTGAATGCTCAGGCCAGTAGTCGAAATAAACACACTTTTACAAAACAACAGGGTATTCTACGCAAATAAGGGTATCCACTAAAATAACGTCTGAAGAATATATATATATATATATATATATATATATATATATATATACAAATATAGATAACTATACTCGTTTCGAAAAACCCTCGAATCTTTAATTGGCCAATAATCAAATCAATCTCGAGGGAAAAAAAGGTTTTAAAAAAAGAAAGATCTACAAACATGAAAGTCTATCGAAAAAAATCGCACAGATACAGGTTTGAAGCCCAAAGAAAAAACCCCGATACGAGTAAACAACTAACTAACAAAATCTCTCAATACAACCTTAGAGCAGACCTATATAAACCTAGTGAGCCAGACAAACCTACCTAGGTTTCACCTAAACGGATCGTCAGGGAAAATAAGGCTCTACTTTCCCTGACGATCCGTTTAGGTGAAACCTAGTTAGGTTTGTCTGGCTCACTAGGTTTATCTATATAATATATATATATATATATTAATCATTTCACCCCAAGCAAGGAGATAATGTCATTAAGATGCAAGTGGTTACTGGGAGTAAAAGAGAGTTGAGAAAACTTTAGAAAGAATCGGAAAACTAATCTTAAATAGGAAACAAATAATAAACCTGTATTGCTGCCCAATAGACAGAGAAGGAGTATGAACCGGGTAATAGGCGGACCTATCTACACCTATTAATTACATATACAGAACTAAAAGCAAAACTACAGTAGTAGATAGTGAGAGACGTTATCGTTTTACATCTTCTATTTGCAATCCAACCTTTGTGTCAAAAGTTGCACTGGTATTCCATGAACGAACTGATGTTGAAAATTGTACAACTTTGCTATGATGAACATGTATCCTTCTGCAACTTACATTGACACATCTGCATTAATTTCCGTAAATGACTAAGGGTGTTAAAGAGACAGTTAAATGTAGACCAGAATCAGAAAGATAGAAAGGTGAATATAGTAGTGAGGATTTCAGGCAAGAGTTGAAGATATTTTTTAATAAATTGAAATTTTTTAAGGCCCATTGATATTTTAATGTATGCAAACAGCAATAACAGAACAATACAAGTGGTAAAGTTTTGTATGAATCAGGCAACAATCGTATATTTATATATTATATTTATATTTACGATCATTATCTGGTCATTAATAAATAGATGATACTGCATTTATGGATAAACTGCCAATAATTTAGATGAACAGAGCCTGGCAGTTAGTCTATCTTCTGACCTTATATGCACAGCTCAATAGGGTAAGAATTGACTTGAAACATTCAATAGTACCAAAACCAAGCCACTATTGTATAATTTTCAGAGACCAAACCCTTAGTTGTCTTTAATCGGAATCAACGGTTGTACATTCAATAAGGCTCCTTGCCTGAAGGTCTTTTGGAATTGAAGGTCACTGCAGTTCTCAAGTTGAACTCGTATATATAATCCATCATTACCAAAATGTTTGCAATTAATGAACGGCTGTACTCTCAATCAGGTACCTTGCCTTTAATGTATATTTGGAATCAAGCTCATTCTAGGCCTCAAATCGAACTCATATATATGATCCATCAATACCAAAATGTTTATAATGATGAACAATTGTCGTCACAATGAATCTACTTACCTTGACCCTCTAATGGGACTCAAGCTCAATTCTGGCCTCTAATCGAAATCGTATATATGATATATCACTAACGAAATGTTTGTCATCATGAAAGCTTTTACTCTAAAATTAGGCACCTTAACTTGAATTTCGATTGGGAATCAAACAAATTCCAGGCCTCTCCATGCCTCAAGTCGAACTCGTATACATGATCCATCACTATCAAAATGTTTTTCATGATGAACTGTTGTACTCTCAATGAGGTACCTTGCCTTGAACGTCTATTGGGACCCGAGCTCACTGCAGGCCTCAAGTCGAGCTTATATATATGATCCATCACTACCAAAATGTTTGTCATGAACTGTTGTACTATCAATTTGAATTCTTATCCTAAACGTCTTTTGGGATACAACCTCACTCCAGGTCTCAAGTCGAACACACATATATGATCGATCATTACCAAAATGTTTGTCATGATGAACGGTTGTACTCTCAATAATGTTCCTCACCTTGTACGTCTATTGGGACTCAAGCATACTCCAGTCGCCAAGTCGAACATATATATATAAGATCCATCACGACCACAGTATTTCTCATGATGAACGCTTCTAGTCTCAATTAGGCTCCTTGACTCAAGCATCTATTGAGACTAGAGCTCATTTCTGGCATCTACTTGAATCCATGTGTATGAACCATCGCGAAAAATATTGTTTGTCATGATGTACATTTGGATTCTCAATGTTGCTCATTGTTATGAAGGTCTATTGAGACACTCGCTCACACCAGGCTTTTAAGTCGAACACATATTCCATCACTACCAAAATGTTTTTTCACGTGGACTTGTAGGTGTTAAATTCTTTTACACCCTACAACTCTTTTCCTACACCTCGCTGTTCTATAGCTATTGTCATGACATGTGTTTTGACGATCTACTGTCCGACCAGCCCTGAATTTTACAACTGGCACCCGCCATGCCACGTATCATCTGTATTCCATTAGTAAGAAGGATATTCCACTCGGACAACTTTTTCTCAAGAATCGCTACTTTTTTTAACAGACTCCCGATAGAATGCTTTCCCAATCAATGCAATCTTCACCTGTTCAAGTTTAGGGTAAACCGTTATTTTTCCTGTATAATCCCACGAACTTCATTTCTTGGGTTTGTTTCCCTCTTAATCCTCTTCGTTGAGTGATATACAGGAAGCAGAATAACATCTTTGTATAATTTCAGCTGTGAAACGCCACCACCACTGGCTATGCATTTTTGAAAACGATAAAAAAGAGCCTGCTTATTGCGCGCGTCAATGTGGCATTTTTACTATGTATACAACGGGTCATAATTTCCAATCTGTGATTCAAAAGGGTTTTTTTTTTCTTTTGTTTTTGTTTGTTTTTATCTGGAAAAGTTATTATAGCTAATTTTCCTTGTTGACAAAATATGCAGATGTCACTATGATTGTTGTAAGTTTTTTTTAAAAAAAAACTTTTCCAATTTACAATCGGATCTTCTTTATTTTTTTCCTTTAATTTCCAACATGGTTTGCTAGTCTAGTATAACTCCTAATACTTTCTAACTTAAAAGATTACTTGTGATTATACCACCTCTTCTTAAAGTTACTATCAGTACACCCCATGTATATTTTTCTGGCCATTTGTATCTATTACTTCTGCTTTGTAAATTACCGCTTCAGTTTTACAAACTTCATCTGATGGACATCTGCTTTTATTTCTACAATTGCATATATCACTGTTAACAATGTTTTGCTGCATGTTAGTTTTGAAATTTCTGACATTTTGTCTTTTTATTGTGGTTTCTAAATTACTAGTACATCTATAGATTGATTTAACTGTATTTTTATATATTATATTTTATGTAATTCGGAATTTTGGGGGAAGTGTTTGTTGAGTAATTTGAAAAAAATATTTTCCCTATTTTACACGGCCTTTAAGTTAAAAGATGGTTAAACTAAATAATATTTCATACTCTCCCCCCCGATCTTTTGAACAAGAAGAGAGGTTTATCCTTTGTTCTCTCTTTGGGATCAGGTTTTTCTAGTTCCCCTCTAAAGTCTTTTCATTCTCATACACTCCCAGTAGCCTCTTGCGTCTTATTGGCATTATGACATTGCTTGGGTTGAAATGATTAAAAAAAATAACAGTGTTTAATTGAATAACAAAATGGAAAAAAATCGTGTTTCTTCCTTCAACAAAATTTCATCATATTAAAATAATGTTCTTATTGATAGAATTATGTATATGTCGGGGAAAAGGCGAAAATGTAAGATAAAAATTATAATATAGTTTGTAGTAATTACAAATCAAGAGGAAGACTTAAGATATAGGGAGACTAAATTTTAAATTTAAATTTTAAATTCATGGCGTCGGATTTGCCTTGACGTAAAGTTTAGCCAACCTCATTCTTTTTCTCAACGCCTTTTTGTTCGTTTGCATTTTCGTTTTTACCGGAATTGTTTTGAATATCGCATTACATAGTATTTTTTTTTTCATTTTTGTCCTCAAATTATCCACCATTTGTTTGTTATATAGAGTTTATATAATATAACAGTATATGAATATATACGTAAATATAAGTAGCAGTCTTCTATATAATAAATGCGAATATCACTGTATCACGCTTATTCAACTTTAATCCTAGAGGCCGTGCCCCAACAGTTCCTGCCATTTTGGAATCAGGCCGACTCCGTGGGAAAATTAAAATCATTTCGGGTTGGACCCGCAATCCTGATATTTTGGATTCCAAAGTTTTCATTCCTGCGATTGGTTTCGACGAATTTTTTACGCGATTTTTTGCGACTAATTTTTTTTTTTTTTTTTTATAACTTGGAAATAAATTTAGGAATAATCGAAATTAATTGCGAAATCCAGCGAAAGTCAGCCATGAAATAAAAATAATTGTTTGTCCGGAAAGTATGCACCTACGTACATCAAATTGTCTTTTAATTAAGAGACGACAGAAGAATTATCGATGAACTTTTAAAAGGTAATCTTAAATATTAATACAATACTAAAATGCAGCTATCAATTTTGAGTTCTTCTTTAGTTTATTGTTTCCTGTCGCATCTACTACACCGTATCTATTGTGGTAAAGGTAAAAGCAAGAGTCCTAGTTTAAACGCCGCCCAATAGATTGAGTTTTAAGCTTGTTATATATATATATATATATATATATATATATATATATATATATATATATATATATATATATATATATATATAAGCAAATATATGGATATAGATCCGACAGTATGAAGAAAAATTTTTATATGTTCTAATGTTAATTATGTTTAAATGAAAATGTCCATGAAGATGGTCTTAAATAGACCGAAACGTCCGACGTCGGACTTTATATTAACATTAATACAGCATAATTGCATATTAAGATTTTTGTTTGTTTTTTTCTGTATTTTTCTTCATACTGTCGGATCTATATCCATATATTTGCTTACATACTGTCTACTGGAAATACAAACCTGAATTTACTTTATAACATGGAAGACTTCAAGCTTGGACGAGAATATAAGAATCTATTGATCAAGTAAGGAAAGGATTCATTATCGAACTGTTTTTTAGAACTGTTCCATCGTTTTTGAAATCATTTTTGATTTGCTTTGTAACGTGAAGGACTTCAAGCTTGTATGAAGATATAAGAACCTATTTATCACTACGTATTCCTATATCAACGGAAGGGATTTCTTGAACTGTTTATATAAAATAGTTCAATCGACTTTTTAGATATTTTAATATTTGGAAATCATCTTCGAATACGTTTTCACAACATCGCCCACGTGACGACGACGTGATCATATTTAAACGGAACGCTGATCTTATATAAAAATTTCAGTTATCTGTTTGGATTAGTTGTGCTCTTATGTCCATCGTCTTTTGTGTTAAATTTTTATATGTTCTAATGTTGATTATGTTTAAATGAAAATGTCCATGAAGATGGTCTTAAATAGACCGAAACGTCCGACGTCGACTTTATATTAACATTAATACAGCATAATTGCATATTAAGGTTTTTGTTTATTTTTTCTGTATTTTTCTTCATATATATATATATATATATATATATATATATAAAGTGTGTCGTAAGATACTATGCATATAAATAAAAACAAAACAAAACAAAAGTTTGTAACTTTGTAATAAATCTATAGAGAATATTTAGATATTTGTACATACATTTATCCAACCACAGATGTGCCATTTTGTTTCATTACCCTTGAAACATCTTTCAGACAAATTCAACATCCATCCTCACAAAACTTGGCATCTTTCTGGGTGATGAACTCGTCTAAGTGTTTTTTACAGGTTTCCAGAGAATTGAAGGTTTTCGCATTGAGAGAATTTTGTAGGGATCATAATAAGGGGTAATCCAAAGGTTCAAGGTCAGGTGTGTATGGCAAGATTAATACGACATCACAGCTAAGCTACTGTCGTGTCTGTAAAGATACCTGAGGTCAAGGTTTGTCCTGATATAAGACAACACCCTCCCGATAGGCCTGTTCCGAGAACTTTTCCTCGATTGCTACCTTTATTTGATCCAACTTTGAATAATTCTTCTTACTTCAAACGTTAGTTTTAGTGGTTACTCGTAATTGAGTAGACGCTCTGTTTATTTAAAACAGTACGTATTTCGTCCATCGGCCTGCGTATTCGAGAAAACTTATACAAGCATTTCAGTGCTTTTTTGCATTCTGTTGAGGATTCTTCTAGATTCGATGAATTACTTAATTATGATTATCAAAAATCCCCCTAATATAATTTCTATCACTTGTATCTCCTTACTTGAACCGGTTTCTAATGATCTGGATGAAGCGGCTTGGGGATGGAAGGCGTACTCGTAGGGGCCCATTTCGTTGGACGAAGTAAACTTGGATGAGTTGGCGGAATTTGTGAAGAGCTGCGCTATATCGAGTCTTGTTACCTCTTTGTCACCGAGACCCGTTCGTTCAGTGGGTATGACGCTTGCATCGTATCGTAACGGTCCGGGTTCGATTTTCGGTAGTGAACAAAATAGGACGAAACGACCGTCCAGTATTTTTTGCATTCTGTTGAGGATTCTTCTAGATTCGATTAATTACTTAAATATATATTGTTGTTGTTACTTCAAAAGTTGTTTTAGTAGATACTCTGATTTAATTAGAAAATCCCGATTTTTTTTTAAATAATATTTATTTCGTCTACTGGCCTGCGCATTCGAGAAAACTTTGTAAATAAAATGTTCTCCCCGGCAGGATTCGAACCTACGTTCCTTTTTACTGGAGGAATCACTGTCTGATCAGCGTGTTATGGCGCTCAGCTACGATGAGCTTCACAATAAAGCAAGGTCCTCTTTTGCTTATAAATCACACTCAGCCGCTAAGATTTTCTCGAAATGCGTATCCGATGTTTCGTATCCGACGCTTCGTATCCGAAACGTAAAGAAAGCAATTTATGCAGAATAATGAATTTTAGTTTTTTTTTAATCGGTATATTTTTATTACTTCAAACGTTATTTTTAAATGGATACCCGTATTTGAGTAGATGTTCCGTTTATTTTAAACAGTTTTATTTCGTCTTCCTCATTAACGGATATGGACTTGGATACGGACTAAAAGAAATAATATCTATTAATTATTAAGAAACAATACTTGTCTAAATCCACCGCCTGATTTTGTGGTTTGGTGCTAATAATCACACCTACATATACAGCATTACCTTCTTCAGAAACAGACCCGCTTTTCAAAGGGTTAATGGTGACTCATTTCGTTTTTCGTAGGATGTTTTGACCTCTAAATACCTTTTAACATCACCCGTAATCGTTCATTTTTAAATGAATCATTTGGTTTGGTTTGGTTTAGTTTTGTTTGGTTTGGTTTGTTTTACGGCATATTAACCTCAACGGGTCATTTAATGCCAACAAGATTTTTATTACTGGTAATATTTTTTCAAAATGTATTGCTGGTAATATTTTTTCAAAAACGTATTGCTGGTAATATTTTTTTTTAAAAATATATTGTTGGTAATATTTTTTTCAATATGTATTGCTGATAATATTTTTTTCAAAAATATATTGTTGGTAATATTCTTTTCAAAATGAATTGCTGTTAATATTTTTTTTCAAAATGTATTGCTGGTAATATTTCTTTTCAAAAAGGTATTGTTGCTAATATTTTTTTCAAGAATGTATTGTTAGTAATATTTTCAAAAAAAATGTATTGCTGATAATTTTTTTTTTTTTCAAAAATGTGTTACTGCTAAGAATTTTTCCAAAAAAGTATTACTGGTATAAAAACCTATTTTTATATACTTTCATAGTGTTTTGGAGGGTTAACTATTTGCCCATAGCTGGAACCCTGACAGGTGCTACCACCTCGGGTCAGGGTGGGCCTGGGAACACCAACAATAAAGAGGTGGTTCCATGCTCCTCAAAACCTCCTGAACAGAGGCCTTGCTACTGGACGTAGTTTATCGTCTTACTCAGGACGCGGATGTATTTTATCGTCATACCCAGGACGGTGCATCATTTGGTTGGGTTTGAGCAGACAAAAACTCAAACTGAAATGACGTCCATTAATTTATTTTTCGTTAGATCGTAAGGAAATCAAACATGGTAGCTATTTACGTATCCAGATGTTTTCCAATGCCTTACAACACTCATAAGAGACATATGAGTACTTCTGCGACGGCCCGTGTAATGTGTTTTTATTGGCGTTCCGATTTGGCCATCATTAATGAATTGTGGGCCTACCAGGGCGTCTTTGGTCTTTTAGATAAAGATTTCCACTTCTGAATTTTGCGAACTACTAAATGTACGCTCAGCTATGGCACCATCTCTATAAATGACACATATCTTTTTTTGCTATTTTTACACCGTCGTTTTTTGGGGGGTTTTTTTACTTGAAATAAAGAATGCTTGATGACGTAAATTCATCTTATTTTCTTCCTTTTATTGTTAACCCCTAAACATTTAAAATCCACAGTTCACATGCGAGTAATATAGAAATACCCACTGAAATGTCCCCTTTCAGAATATGTATATATGACAAACATTTCAGTCACGTGTGAAGTGAAATCACTTGTTCAAATGCCACATACTGAAAAAGACTACGGATTTGTATTCCAACCTAATATGTTTCAATGAATGTGATGGACAAGGAAAATTGTTCTTTGAAATAATTTTTAAAGAAAATCTCTAACAGGAGAAAAACTAAATAAAAAGCATGTTTTTATTTAATTTTTTAACTGTTATAATAAAATTGTCCTTGTAGATCATATTCAATGAAGCATGTATAATAGAAGAATTACTTCCCAACTAGAGAATACCGTTTTATCGTTTGGGGGAGGGGGAATTCGTTTTCTACGGATTATCAAACTTTTGCAGGTTATTTAAAGCCAGAAAATATTTTGAGAAGGTAAGAAGTTTTTTTTTCTTTTTTTTAGATAATAATGGTTTAGTGATACAAATCTTACTAATTAATCCATAGCTGGAGTGAGAAGAGGTGGATTCAGGCCTTTCCCAAAGGTTATTTGCGCGTAAGGGAATATAATGAACCCAATGTGTGTGTCTGTGTGTGTGTGTATACACATGTATGTGTGTGTGTAAATGTGTGTGTAAAGATAATATATGTTCATAAATATTAATCGTGTTGTATTCAGAAAATAAATAAAATTGGGTGCATACACAGGTCAGGTTCTTTGTTCATGCTCTTATATCATCATTAAAAGATATAACTGAGATTTTATACGTAGACACATCTAGATAACATGTGATAGATAGATGATAGATAGATAGATAGATAGATGATAGATAATAACCAGGCTGTGATAGATAGATAGATAGATAGATAGATAGATAGATAGATAGATAGATAGATAGATATAACCAGGCTGTGGATAGATAGATAGATAGATAGATAATAACCAGGCTGTGATGATAGATAGATAGATATAGATAGATAGATAGATATAGATAGATATAGATAGATAGATAGATAGATAGATATAGATATAATAGATAGATAGATAGATAGATAGATAGATATAACCAGACTGTGATAGATAGATAATAGATAGATAGATAGATAGATAGATAGATAATCAGGCTGTGATATAGATGAATAGATAGATAGATAGATAGATATGAATAGATAAACAGACTGTTAGATATCTATAGATAGATATATATATATATATATATATATATATAGAAATAGACTGTTATATCTATATATATATATATATATATATATATATATATATATATATATATATATATATATGTTGTATTCGTGCGTGCGTGTGTGTACTCGTATATATTTGGTTCATTTTATGAGATTATAATTGGAAGGAAGGAAATATGTTATACATGTGTTTTTGTGTCGGTCGCCATTCTGTTGAGGCACACATCAGACTAACGACATACAAAGGCGTTAATTGCTTCTTAAAATCGGGGATCGACATCAAACGGCCCTAAATAATCCTTCGACCAGAGCGATGGCACAGAATCGGGCAGATGCGTAGGGATGAGGATAGAAGTTGGTGACTGGGGTGGGGGGCATAATGACGCTTTTGTGGTGGCTGTGGAGGAGGTGCTATTGCAGAAGAATGATTCGAACGTTACCTTATTTTGCAGACGTCGCCTCCAGCATCGTTCATTTCATGCTTGGCTAAATTTTCTACTGCGAACAAGACTTGCCTTCTATATTTCTACCTTTACTCTTTCATATTTTTTTCGCCGATGGTGATGATGACAAACAGCAGCCTGGAGTGAGAAGTGAAGAGAAAAAGGAACCGGAAGAAGAACTAGAGAATTCTGGGAAGTAAACGAAGATATATGAGAGAAAGAAAAAAGTCTGAGGAATGTTTGACCAACCGTGAAAGAAAAATGGCAAAGGAATTTTCAATTGAAGATAGCCGAAAGAATCTTGAGAAGGCATGAAGTTTTGTTTGTTTTGTTTTTTTTCTTTGTGGGTAGGGTTGAGGGAGAAGGATACATTCGCTGCATTTTTCGACGGGTGGGGTCCATTTCTTATTCTTTACTTTTTTTCCGTCCCACTTGTTTTACTTTTCTTTCTCACATTCGCTTTCTTGCGAGCAAAACATTTTTCCAAACGTTTTCGCAGTTTTTCTTGTCTTCTCGACAGTTTTTCCATTCTCTCTCTCTCTCTCTCTCTCTCTCTCTCTCTCTCTCTCTCTCTCTCTCACTCCCTCAGTTTTTCTGTCTGCCTGCCTCTCTCACACACACGCACACACGGTATGTCTCTTTTTGTCTGTCGCTATACCTCTCCCTCTCTCTCTCTTTCTGTCTCTGTCACTTTCTGTCTCTGTCTCTCTCTCTCAGTTTTTTGTCTCTCTCTCTCTCTCTCTCTCTCACACACACACACACTGTTACTTTCTCTCTTTCGTTATTTCTCTCTCTCCTTCACTCACACACAGTCTCTTTTTGTCTGTCATTATTCCTCCTCTCTCTCTCTCTCTCTCTGATATATATATATATATATATATCTATATATATATATATATATATATATATATATATATATATATATATATATATATATATATATATATATATATATATCAGAATGTCTGGCGTACACTCTGATGTCTTTTTGAAGCATTTATGAGAGGTATGTTTTTCTACGTCGTCGTCAAAAAGTTTATTTATTGAGCTAGCTAGTCTGTTCATATCTATCTGTTTATCTATCTTTCAATCTCGGCCTGTTCAGACACACGCACATATGCACAGATAGATAATTCCCATTACTGATGAGGGGTTTCCTTCCTAACCTTTTCTTTGAAGTCGTGTAGAACATCAACATCTATATATATATATATAGTTGCACACATGTGAAAAATAATATAAAAAGATATATTATTGAAGTTAATTTGATAATTGATTAATATATATATGATGACATGTATATATGTATGTATTTATATACGCATATGCACGCAGAACATTAGGTAGATGAATAGATATAGATATATGAACAGGTTGGGAGGATCGATAAATATGAAAAGGTTAATATGTAATGGATTCGACTGGAATTCGAACTCCGCTGTCCGATTCCGTGCCTGCTACACTTATACAAGTGTTACTAATTAAACCATAGCAAGTGGGAAACGATGTGGATTCAACAGGAACCGGTACTTCAATGTGAACACATAAGAAGGAAAGAGGGATTGGAAAACTTAACTCTCACAGGGCATATTGAGGTTAACGGAGAGAGAGAGAGTGGGGTAGGCAGCTGGTCACCTACCTGGCGAGAATCAATAGTGGAACGAGGAGCGTGTGACTTTGCAAAGGAAGAAACACGAGGAATTGGAAGTTGTGAAGAACCATAATCTCCCACACGCTGAAGTGAAGAAGAAAAACAGCGTGTAGAAACTACACATGATTAGTCACGTTAATGAAATATGTATAAAACAAGGACTGCTGTTAAATATACGATATATATATATATATATATATATATATATATATATATATATATATATATATATATATAAAAATATATAGAAAATAGGAAAGAACTCGTTAGGTAAATAATCCAAAGTTCTTTCGTTATTATTTTTTAAAAATAGTGCTCGATACAAAAGTAGAGCATAAATATAATTATTTATTTAAAAATATGATTTCAACACGCTACATAAGAGTTCTCATGTTTCAAAACAAGAGCCGAAAACTTCAATATAATTATTTGAATTAAATTGAATTAAAGTACTAAGCTTCGTTCCATCTTCAAGCGAATTTTTTTTTTTTTTTTTTGGAATAACTTATTTCTGAAAATACGTGTTTTATAAGCATATTCATTATTTGATTTCAATAATGCTTATATAACGCGTATTTTCAGAAATAAGTTATTCAAAAAATTTCGCTTGAGATAGAACGAGCTTAGTACTTTTAATTCAATTTAATTCAAATAATTATATTGAAATTTTCGGCTCCTTTTTGAAACATGAGAACTCTTATGTAGCGTGTTGAATCATATTTTTAAAAAATATATATATATATATATATATATATATATATATATATATATATATATATATATATATATATATACATTTCTTATGACTATAAGTGAATACACATGTTTGAATTGACATGTCTGTTAATTTAAAACAGTGAAATCAATAAAGAAAAAGTTAATCCCGACAGGAATCGAACTTGTATCACTCTTGAAACTAGAGTGCCCCGTACGCGGGAAACCTTTATGATGAAGCAAAATTGAATTTCTTTTTTCTTTTTTTTTTTTTTTTTTTTTTTTTTAATCATTTCTCTCCCAAGCAAGGCAACAAATCCACTAAGACACAGGAGAGTTACTGAGCGTGAAAGAATATAAAAAAAAAACATTATTAAGGAGCGAGAATAATAAAAGAACAATAGCAATAACAGAAAGATAACGATTGACATCGTATTTAAATTTTTAAAGGTCAAACTTGACTTGGAAGCAGGAAGCTGGCAGACAGATCCACAAGCAAGTGTGAGAAAAGTACCTGTTAGATCTGGTCATTTCAACTGTAAAAGGATTAGACCTTGCCTCCCATCTAGTACTATGTTTGAATTAATACAGTCTATTTAACATAATGGAGAGTTCATTAGATTAGTTTGATTTGGTTTGTTTTACAGCATATCAACCTCAATAGGTTATTTAACCCTACAACACTAACCATCAATTAAAGTTACACTATTACTCACCATGGGTACATCATACCCGACTTTGAAAATATCAAAAAAATACTAAATATAAATCTTTATTTGAAATATTTTACATGCAAGCACTTCAAACTTTGTACTTTGAGTTAACATTAATATGAACTGAAAAACATTATTTAAGTAAGAAAATCAGGTACTGTAAATTGTAATTAAAAATAGGAAAATTTGCGCTGAGTACTATATACCCATGGTTAGTGTTCTAGGGTTAATACCAACAAGATCTTTATTACTGGTAATTTTTTCTTTCTTCAAAAATGCATTGCTGGTAATAATTTTTTCTTCAAAAATATATTACTGGTAATTATGTGTTGCTGGTAATAATTTTTTCTTCAAAAATCTATTGCTGACAATAATTTTTTACAAATATGTATTACTGGTATTAAAATCTATTTTTACACTTTCATAGTGGTTTCACACCAGTTTAGAAGTTAACTACTTACCCATAGCTGGGACCCTAACAGGTGCTACCACCCCGAGTCAGGGTGGACCTGGGAACACCAGCAATTAAGAGGTGGTTCCACGCTCCTCAAAACCTCCTGATCAGAGGCCTTGCTGTTGGACGTAGTTCATCGTCTTACCCAGGACGCGGATGTAGTTTATCGTCTTACCCAGGACGCGGACGTAGGTTATCATCATACCCAGGACAGGAGTCCATTATTACATTTACCATGAAAGTATTTATTGAAATGACACAGGGAAGTTATATTACTTTTGTTCACCCAATACAAAAATCAAGTGCCACGCAAAGTAGAAACTTAAGGAATAAGGTTCCTGTGAATGAGAG